AGGACTCTCCTCCAAAGACTCCATCCCGACACGAACCCCAAATTAAAGGCCTGCTTAGAAGTTCTGCCTCAGCTCCCTCCAACCTGACTGTACAAAACTCCAGAAATCCTTTGAGTCGCAGCAGCCATTCCCTCAGAGAAAGGTAATCCTCTTTTCTTAAAAATATTTAAAATGACTGGATGTGTCAAAATCAAAACCATTTATTCCTCATTTTAAAAGAATCTAATGGCAACAAAATCTGATTTAATTTCTCGTCATTATTCTCTGGACAAACTGAAGGCAGGTGTCATGTCTTCATTCATTAACAAAAAGTCAAATAAAACCTGTCAGGAACTATTTGAATGGCATATCTGAGAAACGAGCAGGGGTTCATTCACGCTAAAGCTGACTGTGTAGAAGTGTAGTCTACTTTGAAGCACACAGACAGGTTAGAAAGCTTCCAGCATCACCAACCTCGGCAGTTTTTTGTTGATTCACATGCTGATGACAGAAAAAAGCAAATACGCAGTTAATGCGGTGCATGTTTGTAACCCGGTGAAGCATGAAATCTTAAGGTGTTTATCAGGAATACACTCTGAGCCCCGGAGTTAAGTTTTTCTGGCCACAAAAAACAAATCTGATTGTGTTCATACTCGAGGTACACACAGGAGTGAACATAATCCTCCTTTTTTTTTGTGATGTTTGCCCTGAATTTATCCTGATCCATCTGTGTAAATCATCTGTTTGCTCAAAAGATCTTAAAAGCAAAACATGCACCTGTAGGAGTCTCATTACAGTGTACAGCAAATATATGGAAATCCCGTGAGATGTTAGTCATACGCTGCTGCTGCTGCTGCTGCTGGTCTGAGGTGTGAGTGTCTGTGTGTGTTTGTACACGCACATCCAATCTTTAATTTTGATCACACTCGACAGGCAGGATGAATTCCCCTCCACCTTTTAAATCACAGAAGCTGATGTCTTGTCATGTTTGTTCATTACTGAGAGAGGAGGCAGAGAGAAGGGAAAACAAAGAGGAAAATGGTATTGATTTGTGTTTCAGCTCGAGACTGATGCATTTGACCCGATGCACACTTTAATACATTCAGAGAGACCTTGTCATCGATCACAGCAGCTGCGAGTTGACAACGCCGATGGGACCGATGCTCCGTTTTGTTTGTTTGTTTGTTTCTGCTTCCCTTTTCCGTCCACTCAGTCCATAAGTAAACAGTGGAATCAATGGACAATCTTAAACTGCAAAGTAAATTGCAGGAAATGAATGATACTTTTCCCTCAATTGGAAACGCGACAGGATTTGCTGGGTGGGAGATTAGAGTGGGCCTTTGTAGATTCCCCGCGACAGGGAGAGGGGCACGTCTTACCGCGAATCTTTGATCTATAAAGAAAATGACAGATGCCAGTGGCAGCGTTTGCCCCCTAAGCCCCGGAGTCTCAGTCTATTCATGTCTCTGGATGATTTGTCCTTGATGACTTTTTGAAGCAGGTAGTGTGTTTATCTGATTACAGATGAAAAGCTTCCTTTCCGACACGAGCCGGGCCGAGACACCAGTCGGTCTGTCAGTCATCACCCCTCCGCCACCGACAAATAAACTGCCGGAATTTATTTTTGTTAGTGGGATCTCCAGTTTCGTAACTGTCCGCGGTCAACGCGCAGACACA